TTTCCCAGGCCATAAGCAGGGAGCTAAAGAGGAAGCAGAACTGCCGGGATATGAACTTGTGCACATATGGGATCCTGGTGCATCCAAGGATCCGCATCGGGGCCTATGATCAAACCCTCTTTCTGTCAAGTAGAAGACCTCAGACAAGTACCCACACCCTAATGAACAGAGTCAGCTTACCATCCAGCTATCGCTATCACACATGAGCAGTTACCATTTCCTCCTGCTGACACACGTGGGGCAGGGAGCGAGGGACTGCCAACCATCCCACCACCCTCCATGCCAATTCAACAGGCCACAGACTCACTCCTCACTGTCTTGGCTCACTTTCCACGATGCACGAGACCCCACCGAAACCTACCTGGAGATCACTGGATGCACTGCAGCAACACCCCCAATCCTGCCTCCTTTGAATTCTCAGTCTGCTCCTTCCCAGAACCCCACCTCTTATCTTGAAAAGAGGCAAGCCCAGCCCAGGTGTGGGCAATCCTTCCACTCAAAGCTGTCAGCACTCACTCAGGCTCGCATATGTACTGTCCCCCCTTCCCATAAATCCTGCTTTTCTGCTCACATTAGCTATGTTTCCATCTATACTCTTAAATGCGAGAAGACAAGAACATGGCCAAAATTTAGCTAGAGGTCTCAAAGGCTCTTGCCCTCCACAGCACTCTGAGCAGCTCATCCCGTATGACACGCTGACAGACAAGAGGATTCTCTACTACAATAGCTTCCCTCTGTCTCAACTGTAAATTCCTGGAGCAGCTTCACTTGTTTTCTGTTTGAAGAATTATCTTCATGGAACACATTGTCTAAACTTCAGAAAGCAGACCACCTTTCTCACAAACAAATATTAATCATTTTCTCTGGGGCAAAAGAAGAAAAGAAAAACTAATCTTCACAAACCTTTTTTAAAAATTTATAAGATACACAAAAGCAATGCTTCATATAGATCATCTAACTTAACTGACCACTCTTTGTAAGTTATTCGATAATTCATTTAACATACAATCATATTAGACAAAGAAAGTAAGAAGTTTGTCCAAGGTTAAACCTAATAAAGTAGAAAAGTAAAAAACAAAATAAAACAAAAACATTGTCTTTCTAAAAATTCACAAAAATTATTAACTTGTCAAAAAGAAACAAGTGACAATGTGGAAGAATCTTCAAGGATAAAACACTCAAAGACTGCTGCTTCCAGCGCAAGTAGCACAACAGTTTAGACGGCATGAGGCTGTCAAAGAGCAGTGGATGCGGAGGAAGCGCTGAGAAGCTGGACCAGGCAGGAAGCTGCAGTCAGCTCATTACCACAGGTGTCTCACCTTGGAAGCTCCAACTTTCTCACCCATACCTAACAGCAAGATTTTCAACAATCTATTTTTTAGAAACCTCTAGTCATGTGTCTTTCATTCAACAAATGGCAACCGCAATGCCCTAGTTAAATAAAAATCTGTGGAACAGTATTGCTGAGGGTGACAATATGGTGCAGGGGATGAGTGGATATTCTTTAAGCAGATACTATCAGAAAAATGAAAACACGAATTAAAGGCAAGAATAAAGTTTTTGCAAATCATGTCTCTGCTTAAGCACTTGTATTTAGTATAACAAACTCTTACAAGTATACAAAGCCAACCCAACAAACACTTCATTCAGGAAGATACACAAACAACTAACATGAACATAAAACAATGCAAAGCATCATCAGTAGCCTTTAGGAAAATGCAACTGAGAACTACAAGGAAATACCAGTACATGCATAATAATATGGACATAACCAACACAGTGACAGCACGTGTTTGCCACAACATGGAAACACCACAAGCCTCTACATCACTGGGGGGAATATAAATGGTTCAGCCACTTTGAAAAACATTCTGACAGTTTTCTTCTTAATAAATATAAATGTTACACAACACCTAGCAATTCCACTCTATTAAGAGAAATGAACACATATGCCCACATGAAGCGTTATACCTGAACAGGCATATTATTCTTCCTAACAGCCAAACACTGGAACTATCCACTGTTCATCAACTAGTAAACAAGCAATAAGGTACACACATACAAGGGAATATTACTCACCAATAAAAACAAATCAAGTGGGGCCCAGCACAGTAGTCCAGCAGTTAAATCCCTAACTGGCAAGCTCCAGTCGGTCCAGGACCAGCTCAGCTCCCTCCATGCAGGCCATTTGGTGATGACAAGACCTTCCCTAGCTCTCCTGGGCTCTCTGTAAAGTCTGCCTTTCATATGAAAACAATTTTTTTTTGAAATGTATTTTATATTCTTCACTAGTTTATTTTATTATTTTTTTTTATTGCAAAGTCAGATACACAGAGAGCAAGAGTGACACAGAGGAAGAGCTTTCATCCAATGACTCACTCCCCAAATGGCCAAAACAGCTGGAGCTCAGATGATTCGAACCCAGGTGACAGGAGCCTCTTCCAGGTCTCTCACACTGGTGCAGCATCCCATGGCTTTGCGCCGTCCTTGACTGCTTTCCCAGTCCATAAGCAGGGAGCCAGATGGTAAGCAGGTCTGCCAGGATAAGAATCAGCACCCTAATGGAATCCCAGCACATTCCAGGCAAGGACTTCAGCCACTAGACTATGCTGCCAGGTCATCTCCCGTCATTTTTATATCACATTGAAGAACCGTCTGAAAATGTGGCAGAAGGGGGATGGGAAAACAATATTTAAATAGACTTCAGGTGGGCCTGGCAGGATGGCTCAGTGGCTAAATCCTCCCCTTACAAGCACTGGAAACCCATATGGGCTCCAGTTGATGTCCCGGCTACTCCACTTCTCATGCAGCTCCTAGCCTGTGACCTGGGAAAGCAACCCTGGGGCCCTGCCGGGACAGGCAGTGTGAGAGCAGGAGGTTTAGGGCACCTGGGCTGGGATAGTCAATAAAGAAAAAACCCCTGGGCCTTACAGAAAAATCCCTCCTTTTTTTTTTCTCCCTGTTTTTTTCCCTCCCAGGTGCAGCCAAGCACACCTGCAGAATGGAATCAACCGGTCCCTTGAACAACCCATGACTCCCACTGCGAGGCAGTCCACGTCTCACTACAAACCTAAAAACCTGAGAGCCTTCAGGTGAGGACCAGGCGGGAGCCCGCGGCCGGACACCGGGCAGGGTCCACAGCGCGGACGCCCCCCACACCCCAGCACCCCACAGGGCAGACGCACACACGGCCCACTCGGCCCCTTCCCACAGCTTCCTCCGGCGGCCGCAGCCCGCCGCCCACAAGCCCACACCCCCGGCCCCCAACGCCCTCCTCCCTCCACCGCGGGCGCCCAGGGGGCTCCCCAAGCACCACCCGGGATCGCGCACCAGGGGTCCACCGCCAGAAACACTCACCGAGGCTGCCGCTCCAGCGCTGCCGGGGCTCCTGACCGGGACCACGAGCGCGGGCTCCCGGGCTGCCCGCCTGTCCGCCGGCTCCTGCAGGCCGCGGGCACCCAGGGACGAGCCGGAGGTGTCCGAATTCTCCATCCGCCAGCTGCAGGAGGACGCGCGCCACCACGTGCGAGCCGCTGGCCCGTCCCAACCTGACTGTGTGCGGAACACAAACTGCTGGGCACGAGCCGCCCTCGCGCCGCTCCTATTGGCCCGGGGCCAGCCAGGCCCGACCTCCCGCCGCTTCTATTGGCCCTGGGCCAGCCAGGCCCGCCCTCGCACCGCTTCTATTGGCGCTGGACCAGCCAGGTCCGTCCTCGCACCGCTCCTATTGGCCCAGAGCCAGCCAGGCCCGCCCTGGCGCCGCTCCATTTGGTCCTGGGCCAGGCAGGCCCGCCCTCATGCCGCTTCTATTGGCTCAGAACCAGCCAGGCCCGCCCTCGCGCTGCTTCTATTGGCCCTGGGCCAGCCAGGTCCTCACGCCTCTCCTGTTGGCTCCGAGCCAGCCAGGTCCGCCCTCGCGCCGGTCCTATGGGCCCTGAGACAGCCAGGCCCGCCCTCTCGCCGCTCCTATTGGCACTGGGCCAGCCTGGCCCGCCCTTGCACCGCTTCTATTGGCCCAGAGCCAGCCAGGCCCGCCCTGGCGCCGCTTCTATTGGCCCTGGGCCAGCCAGGCCCGCCCTCGCACCGCTTCTATTGGCCCTGGGACAGCCAGGCCCGCCCTCCCGCAGCTTCTATTGGCTCTAGGCCAGCCAGGCATGCCCTCATGCCACTTCTATTGGCCCAGAGCCAGCCAGGCCCGCCCTCACGCCGCTTCTATTGTCCCTGGGCCAGCCAGGTCCGCCCTCGCGCCGCTCCTATTGGCCCTGGGCCAGCCAGGCCTGCCCTCGCGCCGCTTCTATTGGCCCGGGGCCAGCCAGGCCCGCCCTCGCGCCAGTCCTATGGGCCCTGAGACAGCCAGGCCCGCCCTCTCGCTGCTCCTATTGGCACTGGGCCAGCCTGGCCCGCCCTTGCGCCGCTTCTATTGGCCCAGAGCCAGCCTGGCCCGCCCTTGCGCCGCTTCTATTGGCCCTGGGCCAGCCAGGCCCGCCCTCGCGCAGCTTCTATTGGCCCTAGGCCAGCCAGGCCCGCCCTCGCGCCGCTTCTATTGGCCCAGGCTCCTTGGGCTTGCTTCTGGCTCGACCTGGTGCGTGCCCAAGCGTGAGGGAGCCAGGGCCTTGGGGCTCGGGGGTGACGTGGGATGCTGTGCTTCAGAGCCCACCTCTTGGCCGTGCCCACGCAACGCAAACACCACCCCCACCTGGACCACGGCCAGCAGGGGGTCCCAGGCCCCTTGTGTCAGCTTGCACCCATAGGTGCAGTAGTGCACCGTGAAGGCTCGCTCGGGTCCCCGCTGGCATGGGTTGCCACTGTCACGCTGCTTTTCCTTGGGAGGCTGGCCGCTTGGGCCCAAGAGGGCGGCCGAGCGCTGGCGGTGGTGGTTCCTGGGGAAGCCGGGTCCCAAGCCATGCCCCTGGATCCAGCAGCGCTCAGCTCTCTTCCCCCTGGCCTCTCTCCTCAGGCCGGGCTCGGCCCCACACTACCTGGACGTGACCAGATTTACCAATAGGAGCCCCGAGGCCCTGGCCCACTGGGCTTTGCAAGAGTGGGCTGCCAGCATGGGCATTGTCGTCAGCCCGAACAGCCGTGGGGAGGCGGCTTTCCGATGGGCAGAGGCCGTCGAGGGTGAGTCATTTTACCTTATTTTTTTTTTTTCCTGATGTTCCACTCGTTTTTTCTTTTCTCCCCTCTCTGTCAGTTCTTTTATGTTCCCGCCCTTTCCTACCATTATTTTAGTATTTCTCTTTTGATGAGTCTTTTTGAGGAGTGTATAAATATATTCAGCCACTTTTTTTTCATCTCCCTAGTTTCTTGGTTATTTTTTTTTCCTGTTTGAGATGCACTGTTTTGCAAATTGTGTTGGAATCCTAGCACAGGAGGTCTGTTTTGTGCTTTTCTCACCACCCTGTGGTTTTAGTGTGTGCGTTGCTCCCCTTCCATCTTCACCTGTCTGAATTTCTGTCCTGCTGCGAAATTCAGTTTCATCATGATTTCCTTTGTTTTTTTTACTTTTTCTAACGGCCTTTGTTGTCCAGTTTCATGGTGCAGTCACCCTATGTTGGCTGTTAGTGCTCATGCGCATGGTTAAAGCCAGACTCTGTTAGACAAGCTAGGTATCTTGTGCTTTTGCTCACCCTTCCTGGCAGCCCTGTCTCCCTGGTGTCGTGTCATTCACCGAATTTCAGTGCTTTGCTACAAACTTGGCTGGCCTCACAGGGCTTTCTCTGCATTCCAAGACCTGGTGCCTGAACCTCTAACCCCCATTGCGATGTTCACATCAGCTTTTGCCTCAGATGCCAGGTTTATTTTTTCCTTGATTGTCACCAACCCCAGGCCGCTGAGTAGCCTTCGAGTGTTGATGGTATGCTTTGGTATACCTGTATTTTACTGTAAGTCCAGTGTGATGACTTTGGAATCTGAAGGCTAACAGAGTTCATGAGACTAGTCATGTTGGAAGGCTCGCCCAGTTGTGGGTATGACTCTCACCAGCCAAGGCTGACCTATCCTCTGAATAGGTCAGAGGATGCTGAGTGACAGATGGGACGTTTTTCCCCCTTTTACATCTTGGCTGTGACCTTGCCCTGTGTGCACTCTTTCCTAGTGCTTGATACCTCGAGCAGCGAACTTAGGGAAGAAGGTGCGTCTCTAGAGAATGGAGTTGTATCTGCACACGTGGTGAGCACCCAACACAGGTAAGTGTGCAGGGTCTGCTGTGGCTGCTCCTCCGCTGTGCACATCTGTGAGAGCAGGGTCCAGAGAGTACAGGGTGTGTGTGAGTTATTGTATGGGGTGAGGGCTGTGCTCCACCATGTGCTCTGACGATCCATTTCCTGAGCGAACTCTAGCCCATCCCAGGGTCCTGTCCCAGCCCCTTCCCACATGTCTTGGAACTGCCGACTCTTTAGTCTGCAGAGAATATGAGCCCTAACACCTCTAGTTCTTCCCCTTCTTGGACTCATACCCTTGGTTGCCAGGATGTGTTCCCCCTTGTGGAACATTTCTGTCATGGACTCTATGTTGGTTGCACAAAAACTTTCTGAGCTCTGTCTTCACCCCTGAGCCGATCCCCTCCAGTGACCCTTCTTGATGTAGACTGAGCACAGTCAGCAACCAGAGTCATAGTGGAGAGGCCAAGGGGGGATGGGTAGTTGTGTTGCTCATTGACGTGCGAGTTCTCTGGCCAGACTGTGGGCTGCTGCAGTGTAAAACTGTTGGCTTGACTGGTATTCAGGTCTTGGAACACGTTTAGCCCCGTGTGTGCCCAGGACCTTGGCACTTAGGACATTGCAGCAGACCCTGGCCTTTGAGTCGTCTCATGGCTAAACCCCTAGCCCTAGGTCTCCTCATCTGCACAACTCTGTGCCTTCCTATGTTCCTTGTGTGTGAAGCTGGTAGTGGGTCAGATGGTTTCCAGCAGTTGGGTTGGATTTTCCTGGGGGATGGATACTTTGAGCGTGCTCTGGAGCCCATGATCAAGGTTGGGTACATAGGGATTCCTGAGGACCTAACCCTGAAATACTCTGTCATCCTCAGTAACACTCTTTCAATCTGTCCACAGCCTACAGAGCTCACAGTCAGAGCAAGCAGTATATTATCGTGCCACGTTGGCTGGCCCTGTGGACAACACAATAGAGATTTCCTGAGCTCCTAGCCAGGACCCTTGCCCACATCATGAGAGGCCCTACTGCTGGGCCCATGCCATTGAGGGTGAGTCTTCCCCTGGGAAACTCTGAGCTTTCCATGCATGATCCTGGAAGCAGAACCAACACTGGTGCCTTGCTGCTGCCTGCACTGGGTGAACCTCAGCATCCAAAGTGGTTACATTGGCCAACCCAGGGAGATCCCAGGAGCTGGCAGAAGCACAGATGGGACCAGGGTCTCCAGTTGGGTCTGCCAAGTAACACTGTTTCAGTCACCTCTAGCCCTGGGATACCCTGCTCTTTGTGTACTCATGCCTGTGGCCAGTTTTTGCCCAATATTTCGCAAACACATGAGGTCCAGGTCATGAAAGCATGTGCCTGAGGCATGGGCTTAGCCAGCTGGCTTGTGACGAGGTAAATAGGGTGGCAGGTGGCCGGTGTGTGTTTCCCTCAGGACAGCCCGAGTCAGCCCACAGGCCAAGTCGACCTGTGACATTTAGGGTTGTACAGAGTGGTAGCTATTACCCCCCTCTGTGGCCATCTCACACAGACCTGGCCCCTTATCCTGGCCCCACATCGCACCTTGTCTGTTCACCCTGTTGGGTCGGTGATGATACTTCTTCATCCGTAGTGCTGCAACTTGACTTGAACCTTGGGTATGCCTAGACATGCAGTGCCAATGCTGGTGGCTGGGATTGTGCCCATGCCCCTTCACTCCTAGCCTGGTCATGGAGGTACACAGAGGAAATTTTGTTGAGCATTGGATGTTTCACCCATGTATTATTATGCCACATTTTCCTCTATGAGAGGGAGCCCTGACAGGTGGGAAGATGAAGGGAGTCCCATGGCAGAGGAAAGGTGACTTGCCACCCATCTGGGCCATGGGCATTCATTCTATGGGACTGAGCAGCAGATGCCCATGTGAAAAGGCTTGTGGTACCTGGTGTACAAGGAGCTTGGATCTCCAGGCAGGGATGGAATGTTCCCCAGGTTGGCAGGAGCCACAGGCCAACCATTGCAGGCAAGTCTTCCATGGTGCATGGTTTTTGCCTCACCAAGGCCTCCTGCCTGAGTCCACGAGCCCCTTCAACCAGCTGGTCAATCGAGGGCAACCCTGTTGGCTCAGACAGCTAGCCTCCTGGGTCCTAGTTTCTCCCAGAGCACCAGGCCTCTTTGACATGAGATTCTGCTTAAGAGGTATGTTGTGCAAGGCCCAATATGGGGCCCTCTGATGGTTGGCAGAGGCGTGAGGCTGGCCACGGAAGAAGGCTCTCCCCTGGTAGGTGTGACTTCACAGTCACATACCAGGCCAGGTCTAGGCCAGAGGGTGCAGAACAAATGGTGAGAGCTTTGCTTCCATTTTTCTTCTTGTCCTGACCTTGCCCCATGTGTGCTTCTTGCAGCAGCTGAGCCCTGCAGCCCTAAGGCAGATAAGGAGGCAAAGCAGGAAGGTGACACCTCGAGCGAAGCACTGCTTGATGAGGAGGCGGTTGTGGAGGAGGGGGAAGTATCTGGAGATTGTAGTGATGTCCAAAATGGGTAAGTATGCAAGCGTGTCTGTGGCTGCCATCTAGATGTACACTTCTGTATAGTTAGGGCTCACCAAAGGCAGGGGTGTGCATGTTGACATTGGTGTATTGGGTTAGGGTGTGATGTGGGTATTGTCATCCACCATGGGCCCAGGAGGTCCCTATTCCAGCCTATCCCAGGACACCCACATCTCTGAGAATCCCCTACTCTCTAGCCTGGCATAGGGCCCTCCGTGTCTCAGCCCTCCTCCTTGGACCACTGCCCTTGGTGGCCCAGGATGCATGCCCCCTCCTGTAGCATTTCTGACCTCACAGATTCTGTGTTGTCTCCACAACAAGAGGCTGAGTCCTGTCTCAGCCGCCAACCTTGTTTCCTCTAGTTCAACCTGACAGGGCCTGGTCTGGACCCCGGGGCACTGTGGTGGTGAGATCAAGGGGCTCTTCTCTGGTGTGCCATTTTTGTTTTGTTTTGTTTTGTTTTGTTGTTCTCCAATGTGCTGTTAACGCTAGGGAAACCTTGCATCTGTCCTTAGTAACGTTCCTTCCCTTTGTCCCTCCACAGAGCATCCCAGAAGACTGCCTTGAATAAATCCACTATGTCCTCCTGTGATATCTCTGTGAAGGGGCCTAAGTGGTGCGCACTTCGTGAAGCTTGTTACCAGGATATTGATCGCCCATGTGCATGGCCCACGATCCTAAATGCACATCAATACTTCTTTTCTGATGCGCTTCTTGGAAGTGAGTATTTGCTGGGTAGTTCACTTACCTGCTCTGGATGTTTCAGGCAGATTCCAATAGCCATTGGCCCACGGTACCCATGCCTCTCCTTTATGAATTCTCCTGTTTCTCCAGGTAGAGCTTGTAGAAGCATCTTTGTGTATTGAGGATAGTGTAGGTTTGCCACGGTAGCTCCCTAGAGTACCACTGCTTGCCTGGGTGCCCCTTAGACCCTGCTCATGGCCTTGGCACTTGTGAGCCTTCTTAGGAATGTTTTCCTCTTTTCAGGTTTTGTCGTGAGAAACCGTTGCCCTAGCTTCATAGGAAGTGTAACTTCCTACCGGCTTTCGAAGTGTTCCCTTCACAATACGCCATCATGTGGCAGCGTCCACCCTCAGAGTGATTCTATTGAGAAGCCACCCACTCAGACATGTGGTAGCAGAGGGTGGCTCTTATCATCCACCAGAATTTTATGTAAAGTGCTATCGATCGTTTATGAAGGTAGGAAAGGTCTGGTGTACTGGAACGAGTGATGTGTGTATTGATTGCTGTGGTGTTGTGAATGACCAAGACTTTCTCCCTCATGTCCTCCCAGGGTCACATTGAATGTCCCATCGCTCTTATGTGGGGACATGGATGAGAACTTGGGATGAGGGACCAGATCTGCCCCTAGACCTTGGGTTTCCTTTCAAACATTTGTCATTGAACACGTTGTTTCCATCTTAGTTGTCCATTTCTCATTTGAGGCTCCTGGAAAAATATACCTGCATCCCATAAAATATGATACATCATACAAAGATCTATCCATATCATGGATGGACTCTTCAGTGAGAGCATTTGCAGGATGCCTGACTTAGAATTCTTCAGTAGCATCTGTTTCTTGTTAGTAACTCAGATGGCAGTCTGAAGGAGCTCATATTGGCCCTAGCCTCTGCCACTACCAGCAGGCCCTTCAGACTCAGCTGTCAGCAGGACCTGACCAAGATTCTCATTTGATTTCTCTCTTTCCCTCTCAGGTCCCCAGAACCAGATATGGTGAAAACCCAATATATACTGGAAAACCCAATATTTTAATAAATTGAATCTCATCAAATATATAGATGATCTATTTTGTTGTCTGTTGTTTTTTGTCAAAAATGCATAGAGGCAAAAATGCACAAGAACCTGGGATTCGGGTTTTCTTCTGAAACCTGTAGACAGGTTTGGTTCTATGCCCTGAGACACTCAAGCAAGAAAGGCCATGACTCTATTGTACCCCGGGGTCAAAGTCTGGAAACATTAGTATACATCTCACTGGAATGAACAAGCACATGTGAGGGTGGAGGCCATGACAGAGGAATACTGACCACTACTCCCTGGCATTTTGTGGGCCCTGGGGGAAGAGTGGATGCAGGCAGTGCTGCCTCTGTGTCCTGGATATGACGGTGAGCTGAACAGGTTGTGGCTTCCAGAAGCTTCCATCCATCTTAGCACAGAAATCCAGAGATGGGGTAGAACCCACAGCCTGTGGCCTGAGATTGCTACACTCACCTTTTTCTGCATGCCCAAGAAAAGGTTCCAAATGCCTGATAAACTTACGGGAAGACACACAGCCATGTACAGAGAGAAAAAGTCAAGGTGATAGGAATAGTGATTAACCAGACAGGAAATGACACTCTGACTTGGCACAGCTGCTGCTTTTTGGGGGTGTGGGAAGACCCCAGGAGATGTTCAAGGGAGGGCGAGGAGTGGGAGAAATGAGTGTACAGGAAGGTGGTGATGTGCAGCAATGACAAGATTGCAATGCACACGACTAGTGCCACTTGCCTTTGTTCCCACAGAAAAGGATGAGGGGCAGACAGCCCATCTCCATCCACCAGTTGTGTGGTCCAGCTCTGAACAGGATCCTGACAGGAGAAAGACTTTGCAGAAAACATGAGAGTCGCCTCACCTTGGCTCACTCCCCTTTGCTTTGAACACACCTGTCCTGCCACCCACACAGGGATCATCACTGCCTCCATGGGCAGCTGTGGCATTCCCTGTGTGCTACACACAGCATCTCTAGAACCCTCTTGGCCAGAGACCCTGGGTCCCTTGACCAAGAACTGGCGCTCACATTCAAGTAGCCATTTTGAATTTGTCCCCCCTGGTAGCTGCCTTCTCTACATAGGACATGGTCCTTACACAGTGCTGTCTTCTCTGTCATTCCTTTCAACTCATGTTCTGCTCCTTAACACGCTGCTACAGACTACAGATCAGCAGACTGATGGGGACTGACAGCACACCCCTCCCTTTGAGGCGGCATGTGGAATCGGTGCCCTAGTCTCACTTTATACCTATATTCATATAACGGCTTCAGAAAAAGCTCTTGAAGCTGCAAATCCTGAGTATAAATTAAAACCAAGGATGTTTTTGCAGGAATATTTGTCAGACATTGTAAAATTAGAACATTTGCAGTTCAACAGATACATTTTTATGTTTTAATTTCATTTATTTGAAAATAGGGAGATAAGGTTCTGTCCACTGACTGGTCTGTCTTTCCACCTGATGTCTGAGCTCTGGATTTGACAGTTCTGTTCACTTATTTGTGTTTAGTATAGAGGAATGCCAACTGTGTAGTAATTGCCTGTTGGTGGGATGAAGGCCCCTGTACATTTACAGCTGTGTTAAGAATGTATGCATAGGGCTTGGCGCGGTGGCCTAGTGGCCAAAGTCCTTGTCTTGAATACGCCAGGATCCCACATGGGTGACTGTTCTAATTCCAGCAGCTCCACTTCCCATCCAGCTCCCTGCCCGTGGCCTGGGAAAGCAGTCGAGAATGGCACAAGGCCTTGGAAGGCCCAGGCCTTGGGATCCTGCACTTGCATGGGAGAACTGGAGGAAGTTCCTGGCCCCTGACTTCAGATTGGCACACAACCGACTGTTGCGATCACTAGGGGTGGATCATCGGATGGGGGATATTCCTCCTGTCTCCCCTCCTCTCTGTATACCTGACTTTCTAATGGAAATAAATAAATCTTTAAAAAATACATGCATAGCAAAATAACACTGGTGGGATGACACGATGTCCACGGGGCTGCCCTGACAATGTGCCAGATTAAAGCTATGATGGTTTTACATTACCCTTGGTCCAGACATCCAGGGATACCCCAAAGGATAGAATGTTCCCATATGTGTTTAGGAGGTGATGAGGGGACCAAAGTGGAACTGAAGATCTTCCCTGGGCATCACCTATGTTGGGGCAGGCAGATTTCATGTCCCAAGAAGAGTGACTCAACATGCCAGGGTGAGAGATTACCATTCTAGACGACTGCAGTCAGATTGTCTCCAACTGGAACTGCTGCCTTAAAGAGAAGATGTTTAGGAGATTTCAACCTAGACTAGACACTCGCAGAGAGAATATGATGGCTACCTCTGCCTGAATAAGCATAGGTATGAAGGACAGTAACAACAAAAATTAGAATAGATAGAAAACAACAAGGAAAGCTTAGACCCAGACAGGAAATGGTCAGCGGGGACTCACATATACCTTACTAGGCAGGACACAAAGATTAGTTACTCCTCACTGGGGTGTGGAAGATTGCTCTGCACACCTCTCCCAAAACTGTTCTGCACCTCAACTGTTGACATATGCCTTGTTAAAGTTATAAGCCAGTTTAGACTATCCTAATATCTGCCAAGTTCAGTAAAAATTCTGCTTCAATACAATAAACTGCTAAATACAAAACTGAAAATAGACATGAGACAGCTGAGTAGTATCCTATAGCCATTTCAAGGTGGATAGAAACCGGTTGTATATAAACTAAAATTGAAATGTCAATGAAGTAGTCACAGGATGTGGTTAAGACCTTGCATTTTTTAACATATTGGTCACTAAATACCATGTCAGTTAACTCCATAATGTTGTAAACTGTTTTTGATGTTATGTTATGCCTTTTAATTGGTTGGGACGATATTCTGCCAGCTCTGCTTTCAGACCAGAGATGGTGTCCCCAAGAAACTGTTGAATTGATCTGGACAATAAGATGCTGGACTCTGTGCCTGGTATATGCTTGTAATGGAAGAAGCAAGAGCTGCAACACTACAAGGTGGAGTAATCCACCATGGGGAGAGGGTACGGGAAGTTGTTGGGGGAACCTCAGAGCCTATGAAATGATGTCATAAAGTGAAATGCAAAAAAAGAAAACAGGTGCTCTTTTACTAATGAATGCTGAATGTGCATGTTCTAAATGGAGAAGGTAATCAGTATGTTGATGAATGGAATAAGCCAGAAGATACAGAATACATGTTGTGAGAACAGAACAGTTCCATTGGGGAAACTCCCTTCACACACCATCAGGTTTAGAAGGAGCTCACAGTGTTGAAAACATAAGCTCTTTCAACAAGTAATGTTGAATATACTTGTTATTCATGGGAAGGGAACTCAGCATGTTGTGTAGTGGAACAGGCCTGAAGATGCAGTATATGTTTTCTGATGGCATGATAACTCCGTTTGGGAAAACGCACTCAGCTATAGCAGGCTAACTTGTAGCTCTCAAGGAAACTGATTTGGATGCTTTTATCTAAAATATGATTTCTGCTCATAGAACACAATGTCTAGGAAATCATCATTTTGAGCACAGCACACAACAGAATTTTGTAGCTTCTTGATAAATGCTTTAAGAACTTCTTAATCATGTCAGAACATCAGCTCCTAGTGGTTTTCAGGTAGTATTGAGAACAACTGCTCTCCCACCAAGTAATCCTGAATATGCACGTTTTCCATTCAGTTGCATGTTAATTTAACTTCATGGCATTGTAAATTTCTATTTTTCTTCCTGTTGTTGATTTTATTTTCTGGCTTTTTGTCTAAGGGGATGTGCAGTAACTGTGTAATGGAAGCTGTCATATCCAGATGTGAGGATACAATGCAGCACCCATCTCTACTTCCAGATCAAAGATGGACTCCCAAGGAAACTGTTAAATATAGCTTAACAGTAGGATGCTAGACTCTCTGTCATTTTTCATGGCCATAATGATGGAGTTATCACTGTTTATGAATAACTATATTATTATAATTATATAGAGGAAAATCAGTAAGTGCAGGAAACTTGGCGAGGTGGGAAGGGAAATCCCAGAGCCTATGGAACTGCATCATCAAATTTTAAAAAATAAGGAATTTAATACAGAACTACACACAGCAGAAAATCTCTGCAGACATCGCGTGCATTGCAATCTCTTTTTATACCCCAAAGGAGGTTTCTGTTCCTGCCAACTCACTTGGGGGTGCCTTACTCTAGATCTAGAATAATATTACTCAATATAACCAGCATTATATCCATACATATATAGATTTTAAAACACTACACTTGCAGTAACTGGCCACCAGATGGTGCTGCTGTTGCTGCAGTGCCTATCCATTGGAAGATAATTAACTCCTGTTTTCTGGGGCCTTTTCCCAGGGCCCAAAACATTGAGGAAGCCATCAGTTCTGCTGCTCGATCCTTCAACCTCTAGAACATTCGGAATCACATGCTTGGAGTCTATCCCTCATGGTGGTACTAGCATCCAAGTATTTTCAGATACTGTAACTAAGAAATGCCAATGTTTATATTTCTGCAAGCTGGTCTCTGCAGAAAGGGACAGTTTGACAATGTGTAGATTCGGTCCCATCTGCATAGCAGAAGCCAAAATCATATGCCAATAACCAAAACCCATCTACAGTTGAAGCCTGCCTTCCTCGCGACTATTAGGCACCAAGAACAGAGAGGCTGCAGCGGCTATCCAGCCACAACTAAACTATGAGTAGGATGACTGCTACCCAAACATGGCAGATCTTAACCTACTGTTCTGATCCAGAAGGCTGGATCCCACGTCTCCTTGAGCAGGAGCAACCACAGGTAACAACTCCCATCACAGCACAAATTCCTGCCTGTGCAGCCAGACATAGGTACTAAATTACAGAAGATGGTCCTCTTCGAAGAAGCAAAGTGGTGGGGCTAAGATGCCATGAGGTGAACAGAAAACAAAATGGAGAACAAAGTGGGGGCAGCCAAATGTTACCCAGCAGTTACGGCCCCGTGAAAAGAACTGACCTATCTCGCATTCTAGTCTAGCAGCACATTGTCTTTGTAGTTGCTTTATA